GTGGTGGACTTTCGATACAACATTTTTCAAAAATATTTTGTACGAATTAAATTGGTTTTGTTGAGAAAATTTATTAATTTCGGTCAAAAATTAGGGAAAATTCGTCAAAAAATGTTGTTTTTCAACAAAGGTGTTGACGAACTGCTCTAAATCACTTTAAATAAGGCTACTTTGAAATATTTAAAATTTTAAATTTTTCTTGTCCCGGTCGTGGCCAATTTGGCCAAAACGGCCAAAACGAGCCGAAATTGGCTCAATAACGATATCTCGTAAACTATTCAAAATTTCTAATCAGTTTCTTCGGTGAAAATAAAGTATAAGATGGAAGGAAAAAGTTCTTTGAACAAACCATATCCAAAAAGACGGTGCATGATACCGAAAAGTCCTTCGGTACTTATACCTTGTAATATTAAGGGAGGACTGTTTTTGTAGTGTGAAACTTAGGGTTCGATTACTAGTTTGTCAGTCATGTATTGGGTCGGAAGCCCTATCAGAACTAAATCCTATAGTTTTGAGACGTCACCTGTCAAATATGACAAAAATCCGTCGGTAATTGCAGATTTTTTTCAAAAAAGAAATCGGTCAGGTACTTTTGGGACACCCTTTATTGCTCTTGTTTTTGTCCATAGCAGACTGGATGCATGTTGAATGGTATGGTTCTGTTTGCGTTCACCAAATTTATAATGAACATATCGATTGACAAATCATGTAAGAATTCTGTTCCAACAATTTGATTTGTGATTAATTCTAGATCTGTATTCTTTGTAGTTTCACACAAGTCTACGATTTCGTAGTACTCGAGCTATGGTGAACACTATTTTGCGTTCAGAGGTCCAGAAAAACGGCTTAGAAGACCACTATTTCCAACAGGATGGTGCTATGGCTCATACAGCTCGTCTAACTATCGATTTGTTGAAAAGAATGTTCCCAGGCCGTTTGGTGTCAAAAAAGGGTAATTTCGACTGGCCACCGCGATCACCTGATCTGACTGCACCGGACTTTTTTTTGTGGAGCTATTTGAAGGGAAAGGTGTATGCTGACCAGCCAAAGACTCTCAAAGTCTTAAAACGCAATATTCGACGAGAAATCGTAGCCATATCGACTGAAACATTGGAAAAAGTCATGGAAAATGCCAAAAATCGAGCCAAACTGTGCATCAAGGAAAAAGGCAAACATTTGCGAGATATCATATTCCACTAATAGTGTAATCAAATTCTATTGACCACTACTAATTAATAAAACCACCCGTACTTGAATCTTTTGTCTACTTTTGGAAATATTTAAAAAACAAATCAGGGAATCGAATTTGACACATACTGTAAAACCAATTTTTGCGTACAGCGTACAGGGTACGACACACCTACATTAACATAGCAGAATCACCACTGTATCGTGCTTTCTGGTGTCGAAAATGGATAGAAAAATGGTTTTTTGGGGTACCTAGGTTTTGGAGTGATTACAATACTTTTAAGCACGACATAGGCGTGCGGAAAAGTAATAGATTATACAGTTTTTTTCACAGCGAATTTAATCGCTATTTGTCATAATCAATGATTCAAGTAAGTGCTCAAGAGCCTGTTTTCGTGCTGTGAGTGCAATTCTCCTGTTCAAAGAGGTCATAGAAAACAACATATCACACTTCCATACACATCTTGCAGCTAAGCACAAATAATTAAAATCAGTCTCATAATGAACTAGTTTGTCATCTTTCAATTTTATTTAAACAATGTCAATTGTAATAAACAGGAAACTTGATACACTTTCATATTTGTTTTTGTTAATGAAGATTCGAAAGTAAGAATTCTGTTTTTCCATGTGATCGATTTCAAATGAAATTCCTTGGCAGCAGAGAGCTACTTGTGAACCTTCTTGTGTTGGTTGAGATTTGCCTTTTGTGAGAAGTACTTTGCGCAAATTTCACATCGGAATGGCTTTTCGCCAGTGTGGATTCGCATGTGGTTCATCAAATTTGTTTTTTGATCAGTTGTGTAGCTCTTGCACAAATCGCATCGGTATCCGCGTTGCTTGCAGTTGGCTTCGTGATCGTCTTTTTCCTTCTGTTGTGCGAAGCTCTTGAAGCAAGATGAACACTTGATTTTCAATGGACGAGAATTAGCGTGGGATTTGCGGTGACGTTTTAAGGCACTTGATTGATTGAATCTTTTCAAGCATTGATCGCATTCGAATGGTCTCTCGCCAGTATGCACGCGCAGATGACGTTTCAATTTCGTCTTATTCAAAGTAGAGAATTCCTTGCAGAGATGACACTCGTGGCGACGAACCTTGCAACCAGATTCATGTTCCACCTTCTCCTCGCTGCGATGAAATCCTTGCGAACAATTTGAGCAGCTGAACAGAAATTCATCGACGTGTGTTTTCATGTGCGATTGGAGATGTTGTTTTTGGGTGAATCGCTTCTGGCAGACGCTGCATGGAAATGGTCGTTCGCCGGTGTGCTTGAGCATGTGTTTCTTCAAATCGGCTGAAAAGTTGGTGTCATAATCGCACAATGAACATTTGTGTCGCTTTCCATTTGCCTTGCCTTCAGCTGGTTTCTTCTTGCTACCGAAACTGTTTGCTGTGCCCTCTTCCCCGGTTTTGGCTGATCTTTTCTTTGCCGCACCATCACTTGATCTACTTGATTTTGATACAGAATTGTTCTTCTTCACATTGCTTTGTGGCTTTTGATTTTCGTCAGAGTTTTTCCGTGGAACTTGATTTGCCTCATCCTTAACCTTTTCAATCTTTACTTCCGATTTTACCTCGTTTCGATCGTAGAAATCGAAGCAAACGTCGCTGTCATTCACTTCTGTACGGCCAATCGAATTGTGAAGTGATCCAATGGCTGTGTGTGCTGACCGCGACATCATCAATATTTCGTCGGGGCTTCCAGTCTCTTGTTTGATGGTTTGCTCCTTCTTTATTTCCATTCCATACAAAATCGATCCATTTTCGATCGCGATGGCATCGGATTTGTGTTTATTAGGCGGCTTTTCACCGTGGCCATTCATCGCAACACAAATTCAGTGCTTTCAATTGGAAATCAGAATGTCTATTAGAAACCAAACACGGAACAAACTCTCGGGAAATTACACGTTTTTGTTAAAACTCACCTTTTAGCACACAATTTAGTTTGCTTTTATTCCGATAATGCAAAAATAAATTAGCCAAAAAGCAAAACCCAGCGAATAAATTATAGCTTGCAAAAATTGCGTGTTGGAATGACGCTGTTGAACAGAGCAAAAATAGCGTCACGTATAAAAGAAAATATTTAGTTCGACGTGTAGTCGATGCACGGAGATGTGAGCTATGTGCTGAAGCGATGATGAAATAGCAATGGACGGACATCGCACTCAGTCACACATTTCAATGACAAGTGTCAAAAGTCGAATTTCGAAATATGGTGTAGTGTTATCGTAGTGACTTTCGAATTTGTTGATGAATTTGGGTTGCTTATTTAGAAAATGTACGTACTACAGTTCGTAATTTACAAAGCAGCGCATATTTTATTTCCAAAAATAGATTTTTTTTTCGAATGAAATTCGAAAGGACGAATTTCTTAATTCATTTCGAATATTACACCGGAAAATCGAGAAATCTTTGATCGTTTTAGTAGTCGAAGCCTTGCGCAAAATCGCATTTTGATGGATGTCACCTCTATTCGACCACAAACAAATCAAGGTTCTTAGGAAATAATAATTGCAATTACATTTTACGACTGGATACTCGACGTCAGAGCTTTTTGTTTGTACAAAAATGGCTTTGAAGCCGATTCTAAAACTTAGCACCAAATATCTGTGGATGAGATTGAGAGTAGTGTATGTTTCACAGACTTTGTATTGGAATGAGTGGAGTATGTGTTCAAGTAGAATCAAAATCTTGGAATAATTTATTTCATTCAACAAATAATCGATACCTGTCCATTGTGAAGTTGTACACTGTACAGTTTGACAAGACCAACACTTCTTGTGGAGACAGCAATTCATTTTTTCTTGTCATCAACATGAAAATCGCCAAAAGCCTTGACTGAAACATACCCCACATTATCAAAATATAAGTTATCAAAAAACACACACTACTCTCAATCTCATCCATGGATATCTGCTGATTCTTGATTAGTTTTGAGAAGAATTTAGCAAATCTAAGCAATATGCACTTTGTATCTGTGCTTCAAAAAACAAATTTTATTCCTAGCATACCCCGTGTGGAAAAGTCGATTAATTTGGGACATTTTGACTGACTAAAAGTGATTGTCTCGAACAAAATGAGCAACTGCAGTTAACTTTAATCACAAATCACTCTTAGTCAAAATGTCCCAAATTAATCGACTGACTGAAAGAATAACTAAACGTGATTGTCTCCATACAAAACGCATGATTTCAATCAACTTGGCCAGTTCAAGTTGTGTATCACTACATACAGTTACATACAACTGAGTGACTGTTAGTCATTTTATTTGCACACGGGACGTCACCATACGATTAGATTGTTTGGTTTTGTTAACGCTCAAGACATTGATTTCATGCTGTGGAAGTGAATGTTTCCATGCTAATGAGAATTAGAATTGTGAGTGTTCTGAATGAGTTACCAATTTTAATTCATATACGTTTGTCATGATGCAATTAGTCGAACAATATCAATTGGAATAAAAAGACCAGGTTTTATTCTTGATACATTTTAGTATTTGTTTTTATTTCAAGTAAATTGCTACTTGTGAATATTCTTGTGCCGGATGAGACTTGCATTTCGCGAGAAGCACTTCGAGCAGGTTTCACATCGGAATGGCTTTTCGCCAGTGTGGACTCGCATGTGCTTCATTAAATCTCCTTTTTGATCAGTTGTGAAGGTCTTGCACAAATAGCAACGGTATCCGCGACGTTTGCAGTTGGCTTCATGATTTTCCTTTCCCTTCTGTTGTGCGAAGTTTCTGAAACAAGATGAACACTTGATTTTGAATGGACGAGGACGAGGATTGGTGTGAGTTTTGCGGTGGCGTTTTAAAGCATTTCCTTGCTTGAATCTTTTCAAGCATTGGTCGCATTCGAATGGTCTCTCGCCGGTATGCACAAGCAGATGACGTTTCAATTTCGTCTTATGCAATGTAGAGAATTCCTTGCACAGATGACACTCATAGTGACGAATCTTGCAACCGGTTTCATGTTCCCCCTTCTCGCTGCGATGAAACCCTTGTGAACAAATTGCGCAGCTGAACAGAAATTCATCGACGTGTGTTTTCATGTGCGATTGGAGATTTTGTTTCCGGGTGAATCGTTTTTGGCACACGCTGCATGGAAATGGTCGTTCGCCAGTGTGTTTGAGCATGTGATTATTCAAATGGGTTTTGATGTCAGTGGTATAATAGCACAATGAACATTTGTGTCGCTTTTCATTTGCCTTGCCTTCGGGTGGCACCTTCTTGCCACCGAAACTTTTTGCTGTGTCATATTTCCCGGGTTTGGCTGACATTTTCTTTGCCGCACCGTCGTCCGATCCACTTGATTTTGGTATCGGGAAACGCTTATTTGCATCGTTTCGTGGCTTTCGATTTTCGTCAGAGCTCTTCCTTGGAACTTGATTCACCTCATCCTTAACCTTTTCAGTCTTTACTTCCGATTTTACCTCGTCCAGATTGTAGAAATCGAAACAAATGTTGGTACCATTCACTTGGCCACTAGCAGTCGCATTTTCAGGTGTTCCATTGGCTGTGTGCGCTGATCTTGACACTCTTGACACAATCGCAATACCATCGTTGTCTTCTGGCTCTTGTTTGACGGTCGGCTCTAGTTTCATTTCCATTCCGCACAAAATCGATTCATTTTCCAACGCAATGGTATCGCATTCGTGCTTATCAGTCGGTTCTGTACCGTGGCCATTCATTGCGACACAATTTCGGTGCTGTCAATCAGAAATCAGAATGTTCATTAGAAACCACACACGGAACAAACTTTTGGGAAACCTTTGGCTTTAAAACTCACCTTTCTGCACGAAAAACTTCACAAATTTAACTTTTTATTTCGTTATTGCAAAATATTGGTCAAAAACTCAGCGAATAACTACTTGACACGAATTGTGTGTTGGAATGACTCTGTTGAGCAGAGCAAAAATGGCGTCGCGAATAAAAGAAAATGTTTAGTTTGACGTGTAGTCGATGCTCTGCGATGGGCTCTGTGCTTATGCGCTGATGAAATAGCGATGAATGAACAGGGCACAAAGCCACACGCTGCAATGACAAATGTCAAAAGTCGAATTTCGAAACATCATGTAGTGTTACTGCAGTGAATTTCGGATTTTTCGATGAGTTCGGGTTGCACATTTTAAAAATGTACGGATTATGATTTGACGGCTTGAGCGGAAAAGTATAATATAGCAATGTATTAAGTATAGAATATATTATACTTTTCCTCTCAAGCCGTCATTTGTAAGCAGCGGATATTTTATTTCTGAAAACTGATTTTCTTCTTCGCACTACGATAGATGTCATCTCTAAACCGCTAAAATTCAAGGTTTCATAAAATAGAAATTGCAACTAGAATTCACGAATGGATATTCGATGTCAGTGTTTTTTCTATTTTCACAGATTTCTTTGAAACCAATTCTAAAACTCGGCACCGAATAACCGTTGAATCTGGGCTAATTTTGGGAAAAGTTTATTAAATCTTACCAACATGCTATCGAGTTCTGGATTTCGGGGAACCCAAAAACTGTTTCATATCAAATGATATCAGTCAAATCGACATTTTTGTTTTGTTCACGACGGATTGACATTGTGGATCGCAATCGATTACAATCAATGATTCTACTTAAGATCAAGAGCTCGATTTTGTGTTTCTGTTCATATAGATGATAGTCTATCATTGATAGAAAATAACATATAGCATTTGAAAACACAAAATCGAAATTTCGTTTGAAATCACCTTATTGTTTTTGCTATTGTAGCACAAAAGATACACAATTGTACTTACTTAAAGTGAATGCGCATTTCAAAACGCTCAACGGGCGTTCATCATCAGCACGACTCTCGATTTTTGCCGGTGATTTGTGAGACGAAAAAACAACACACCAACACACCGCAAAATAGCTGACCCAGCAACAACAAAATATTCGCCGCATCAAATCAATGCAAATAAGCAGGACTGCTGAGGTTATGTGTTTGTAATGCATTTTATCCATTTTGACATGATTACAACATAACCTCACTTCTTTGAATTGAATGAGACTTTGATGTGAGATAAAAAATGTTGTGTACAATGTTTGAAGCAGAATTTTTGTGTTTGAATTATTCTCGTACGAATTTATCAGTACACAAAAATTCTGCCATAAAGCTTGAGCGAAAAGTGAAGCAATTTTTTTTCTTGTTATCGGCGAGCAGATATTGTGATGTGTATCAAATGAAGATAAAACAATATGATATTTTGAATATTGGCATCAATGTGCAACTACAATTCCATTATCTGACATTAAGCTTGTATTTATAGTACTTTGTTCAACAGCTCTTGGTCTATAAGAGAAACATTGAAAAATTTAGTTATTAATCATATAGATATATAAATAATAATTATAAATATATATTAATTAAATAAATTATGGTTTTATTTATGATATTATAATTTCTTAATAATGGGTTTTGGGTACGATAATGTGAACGTGGATTGTACATTATTTCACATTGGGAATTAAAATATTGTGAAATTTTTTTCTGAGTTATCTCAAAAGAGAATTACATGTACATGATTTTATTTCATTTTTGTAATTAGGCGTAATTGCTTCGTTTCAAATTAGAACTTTGGATAGAAAAAAGAATTAATTTTCGGTCCAAAAACGTGGCCTGAAGAGTCTTAAAATTTTCTCGAGAAAAAAAAATTGCAATAGCCTATATTCCATGTATACTACATTCCATGTGGTGCTAATAAATAAATTGTCTCTTTATGACAGCTAATGAACCAATTTGTTAAAATTCAATTATTTGAATTAGTTTCAATTGAAATAAAACGAATTGCATACGTAATCCAAACTTTTCCGCTCCGCAGCAATTTAGTTTACCTCCCGCTTAATGTTTAACCAAAATTTCAACGGACCCTTTTTTCATAGCGTTTTTGACCTAAAAAAATAACACTTTCGACCATTTTCCATACAAAAGTGTCATTTTCGAACAAAATTTCAAAAATTTCAAGAAATGTTGATTTCGGACCAAATTTATGGGCAAGTAGGTGTTCGGTTGTTTGAAGGCTCCCATTATTTTTGCAAAAAAATATCAGTTTGCTTTGACCAAAACCCTAAAAAATGGCTTTCTGAGTGATTTATCATACAAAAGTCTATTTTTCGAGGAAATTTTCAAGAAATGTCGATTTTGGACCAAATTTATGAGCAAGTAGGTGTTCGGTTGTTTGGAGGCTCCCATTATTTTTGCAAAATAATGGCAGTTTGCCTTGATCAAAACCCTGAAAAATGCTTTTTTCGGGTACTTCCCGTACAAAAGTGTCATTTTTCAAGGTTTTTGAGGTCCTGAGCAGACGTGTGCAAGGTAAAAAATTCTACGGGGGGGGGGGGGGGGGGCCACTCTCCCAGGGGGGTCTGCAAATTTATAAATGGGTGTGAAAAAAATTAAGACCTAAAAAAAAAGGTCCTCACTTTTGGAAATCCATTCTATCTAGTGTAAAACCAGTCTCCGAAAAAAGTGAGGACTAAAAAAACTTGCACGTGATCGATCGAAAAAAGGTCCTCACCTTTGAAAATCGATTATATCTAGTGTAAAATCGGTATCCAGAAATAAGTGAGGACAAAAAAAAAAAAAGGTCCTCACTTTTGAAAATCGATTATATCTAGTGTAAATTTTTCCAAATCGCTTGGGGGGGGTCCACATTTTAGAATCCAAGGGGGGGGGGGGTAAAACCGGAATACCCCCCCCCCC